AAGTAGTTCCGAAATATTGTATATGAATATCACCTGGTAGGTATTGAAATGTATAACTTATCAATACTTTCACCGATTTTATTTCAACTGAAAACAATATACTATAAAATATACTATTTAAACAAATGCGCTACAAATGTAGATGTAGCTCTTCAATGAGATGATAATAACAAAAAGCTTTTCTGCACCAAGCACACATCAATAGTGTTCGTTCATCGCAGTTGTTAGTTGAACAGTGCAGATCACAGAACTTGAAGCAAACATCTTTTGGCTTTTCAATCTGTCCAATTGTTTCATTTGTTATTCGAGCTTGTATAAACCCATCCTTTATGAGATTTTTGAATAGTGGAGCAGATAATTGATTGTGAATGACAGAATGTATGTTGATGAAATATTGACGATCGTTTATGTTCATTTCTGTACGGTTGATATGAACATAGTGTTCAATTTTTTCATGAATAAATCGCCATGAACGAAACAAAGAAAGATCTTGAGGCTGAATATAGCCGGTTGATCCTTCAGGTAAAATTAATAATTGACTGTCTTGATTAGGAAAGACTGCTCTAAATTTTGTTAGATCAGCTTAAGTTTTCCAAGAATCAAGGAAAAGAAGAAATTTTTTACCAACCAATGGATGCAAAACTTCATTTAGAAAAGCATGATGTTTTTCACCGCTGCTTTTTCCTGATTTTGAAGCTTTGACTACAACATTTGGTGGTACAATTAAATTTTTTTGCACATTTGCACCAAATGTATTTTCTTTTTCTTGGAGAATAAGTAGGAACTTGTCTAATAAATGACCGTCGGCTGATGTAACTGGTTGGACTGTATAAGAATGTGTTGTATTATATTTCTTTTTAACAGCCACCTCTGTTGTTCTTTCACCAGTAAAAGAAAGGGTTCTTGGTGGAATGTATTCTTGCTGAAATGAACAGTGATCACTGTTTAAAATTTGGTGAGAAGAATACTTTGATATTAAGGGTCTTTTACTTTCAATCCAATTTTGAGCATCTACAATATAGAGGCATGTTACATTAAGAATGCATTTAAAGATCAAATAAAAAATACACACCATGTAAACTGAAAATTTTTCTGTTTGATTTCGTTCGAGTAATAATTTTGTTATATCTTCTTGATGATATTCTGTTTTCCTTTTTAAAAGTATTGATAAATTGTTTACTTGCCTTGAACGTATCCCAATTTAATTCTCTTGCTTTTTGAATTGCATAAAGGTCAAGGTCAGCATCGTGAACAGTTTCTTTTTCAATGGTTCGTTTCTGATAGAATTCGTTAAACATAAATTCTTTAATTTGTTTTAATTTTTCCAAT